AGAGAGTGTGTGTGTGTGTGTGTGTGTGTGTGTGTGTGTGTAGTGCAGATTGACAGGTGTATTCATTTATTGATTCTACAGTTTCGGCCATCACTCTCCCTCCTTCTCATTAACACTCGGCTTTAGTTCTGTAGCCTTTAGTGTGATCTCTGTCACGCCACAGGACACGTCCCTAAAGATCACAGTTACTGGAGGAACCTCGTGAGTCAGCTCCTCTGTAATCTCAACGTGTTGTTCAGACTTTAATAAGAAAACTATAGCACGGTTCCTGCTCAAAAGCCTTCAGTGCCTCCTTTATTTACCTTTATTGAGCCTAACCATGGTCTGCAAACATTACATCATCTGAAATCTCTCATAAGTCGCGGCATTTTTATAAACGTGAATTGACAGCACAACTGTAAAATAGACATTTGAAGGTTTCTGCTGCTGGCTGGCTCTTTATGATGAGCTGTTCCTAGTGCTTTGTCACAGATTGGGATGTGCTTTATTGTAATTCTCTGAAGCCTAAAAAACTCTTTAGGAGCCCATCCCATTTCTCATGGTGAGATGAATTGGAGACAATCCATTCAGGAGCAATTTTCCGGGTGAGGTCACCGGGAGAGGGCGCTTGTCTGTTGTCACATTGCCACGGTAACACACCCTAAAGTAGTTCCCCCAAAGTACTGACTTGATAGATTACTGTGGTAACACTATCTTAGCATGACGGTGAATTTGTGGATTGTTGATGGGGTAGCTTTTTCCTTCTTTGGTAAATAGTTTGTGACGTCTGTTGGTTATTCCTAACTGTACAAGAAATATCACGGTGTGTATTTGTAATCACTAAACACAGACATATTAAAACTCAAATTTCTATTCATAGACAGACAGAACAGTTAATAACAGAAATACAGCATCTGAACAGTGTACCCGCCCAGTCAGTGCATTATTTATACGGCCTACTAATATTTAGTATTTTGAATGATCTTTTATTTGTTATGTTTTCAGTTTTTATTTAAGCTTTGTTTTGTTTTTAAATACATTTATGTAGCTTTAACTTATTTTAATTTAAGTTTTAGATATTTTAGTTTCAACTTATTTTATTTCAGTTAGCCGCCAATGCAACATTTCTAACGTTTTTTAAGCTTTTTAATTTTTTGGTAAATAATTGGTGACATTTAATAGTTATTCAATAAATATCACAGTGTGTATTTGTAATCAATAAACACAGACGTATTAAAGCTCAAATTTATAGTCACAGACAGAATTAATATCAATAACAGAAATACAGCATCCGAACAGAAAACACTCTTATTTTTTATGTTTTCATTTTTCATTTAAGTTTTATCTCATTTTGTTAAATACATTTATTTATCTTCAATTTATTTTTATTTGAATTCTAGTAAGTTTAGTTTTATTTTTTCAGTTAGTTGCCAGTGCAGCATGTCTAATTCCCCAAGCTTTTTACGTTCACATTTGTATCTATATAATGTTTCTTCAGTATTTCAATATTTAGAATTTATTTCATTTCATACCAAAACAGATTTTTAATAGTTTTAGTTTGAATGAACAATAACAACACTGCCGTCATGGTGAACGGTTCTAGTTGTTGTTTTACTTCATCTATCTAATTCTAATGGGCTCTACAGGGACTAAATTCACCAGCAAGCATCTGGCTCTTTCCTTTGCACACACATAAACTTCAGCATCCCCTCCCACCTGCGGTCACCATAGCAACCAAAGTGCGTCCTACCATCGACCCCACTGTCTGATTCACGTCCCTGTATAAAATGATCAGAAATCCAGTATGTTGTTCTATTGCACAGCCGCTCGATATTAAATGTAAATGTAATTTTGCTACATATCAAGATGCATTAGGATTGTTTTGGTATCCCGGGAGGTTGGATTACACCAGTGTGCTTTTATTCCAACTCTCTTTGTTTGCACATGAGGCTTTTTATGTTTTATTGCGGTCATTTCACTGTCTGCTATTACTAGTTGTTCCTATGGGGACTAAACCACTTGGTGGAGTTTGCAGGGACTTGTGAGAGACAGAAAATCGTATCTGTTTGTGGTCGAGAACGCGTGTGAGTGACTGTGATATGAGCATGTTTGTGTGTGATTTGCTAGTCCTCACATTAGGTCCATGTGTGAGAGACTGCAAACTAAACACTCATTCAGTTCACATTAAAGCAAAGCATCTGAAGAATTAGTATAAATGCCCACAGCTCAACATGCAGCATCAGTGACTGACAGCGAGGAGCTTTTTCATCAGTGCAGTTTCCCAGTCAGTGCACTTTTCAAGCGTTCCCAAGTGGACAGGATGATCCTCATGGCTCAAATATCCCTCATGGGTTTCCCAGAAATTCCCTTGAAGGACACATTAAAAGTTCCTTCTCATATCAGATTTGTTCTGACTGATGCGTTAGTGTGTGATGTACAGAAATGGTTGTACTTTGTGAATTAGATTATTCTGGAACTTTGCATCTTTGAGCATTAGTTTGTCTTCTAGGAATTCTTGAAGATTTCTCTGAGTTCTGTGTGATTATGTACAGTGTAGTTGTTAGGCTGCTTTATTTGTGATTAATAGAGATCGCTAGGCTTTGAGAAGCAAGCTTTCTAATGCTGGATACTCACCGGCTCCCAGCAGCACTGCTTCTGTTAAAACATCGGTCTTTACATTTAGAAAAATCCTATGTACATTTATAAATTATAATATTATGTGACTGGATGCCTTATTTTTGATGATTATATTAATTTGAAGTTCTCTCAAATGCATGCCCAGATGTGTTTTTTATCTGATTTCATCTTCATCTCTTCATTATAATGTCTTCCTCTCAATCTGTATTTGGGTCAAACCTCACCCTGCCTCCCAGCTGTGGTTAAATTTGATAAGGAGAAGATTCATCAGAGCCGCCACGGAGAAATCACGACACTATCACACTAAGAAAAAACATTTAACTTGTTACATTAGAAGAAAAAAAATGTCACCTATAGAATCAGACCAAGAGAGGTTTATAAAATTAAAGATGCACTGCATTTTGAGCTCAACATTTCATATTATGCTGCCAGTGTTTATGTGGTTTTGTGCATAGTATGCATATCATCAGTACAAAATCACAACTATATTACAATTCCATACTCAAACGTACATTGTCATCACAGTGTATTCACAAAGTATTTATTTTAATGTGTATGCAAAATCATTTCTTGATTTTTCAAAGATGTTTCTCACAATGTTTGTATGTGCCAGAAATATGTACAATATAGATTGCAAATCTAAAATATTTATATTTTTCATTAAATGTTAAAGGAATAGTTCACCCAAAAATGAACATTTGCTGGCCTAAATCATATTATTATAGTGTCAGATTTATCTGAAAAGGATCATGATATTTTAATATGCCCTCAAATGGGTTTCTAGCATATTACGTTTATAATCGTGGACAGATCTGGTGTGTTGCTGTGTGCTGTTACTGACATTGCAGCAAAGCCAACACAGTGCATGGACATTTAGGATCTGTACACACACACACACACACACACACATACAGTATATATATACACACACTGCCGGTCAAAAGTTTGGGATCAGTAAGACTTGTAATGTTTTTTAAAGAAGTCTCTTCTGCTCATCAAGGCTGCATTTATTTGATCAAAAATACAGAAAAAAAAACATAATCTTGCAAAATGTTATTACAATATAAAATAATGGTTTCTATTTTAATATTCTTTAAATTATCATTTATTTCTGTGATGCAAAGCTGAATTTCCATCATCATTACTCCAGTGTAAAGTGTCACGTGATCTTCAGAAATCATTCTAATATGCTGATTTATTATCAGAATTATCAACACTTTTGCTGCACAATATGTTTTTTGGAAACTGAGATAATTTTTTCAGGATTCTTTAATGAATAAAAAGTTAAAAAGAACAGCATTTATTCAAAATATAGATATTTTCTAACAATATAAATATTTGCTATCACTTCTGATCAATTTAACACATCCTCGCTGAATAAAAGTTTTAATTTCTTTAAAAAAAAGAAAGAATAAAAATGTACTGACCCCAAACTGTTGAACTGTAGTGTATATTGTTAGAAAAGATTTCTATTTTAAATAAATGCTCTTCTTTTTAACATTTTATTCATCAAAGAATCCTGAAAAAAGTATCAAAGGTTCCAAAACAATATTAAGCAGCGCAACAGTCTCCAACATTGATAATAAATCAGCATATTATACTGATTTCTGAAGATTATGTGGCACTGAAGACTGGCGTAATGATGCTGAAAATACAGCTGCGCATCACAGAAATAAATCAGATTTTAATGTATATTAAAATAGAAAAACTTTATTTTACATCATAATAATATTTCACAATTTTAAATTTTTTCCTGTATTTTTGATCAAATAAATGCAGCCTCGATGAGCAGAAGAGACTCCTGTAAAAACATTAAAAACTGTTCTGATCCCAAACTTTTGAGCGGTAGTGTATATGTTCCAGTTATTTGTCAAAACCATGTTAAAACACCATATAGCATAACTCTTCTGAAGAAGATGACTTTAAAAGGAAAAATACACCTACTTTTACATATGAATAAATTATGCATAGTAGCTTGTGCCAAACTCGGAAACAGAGTCTTCCTGTGACGTCAGTTGTCTTTTAATAAGTAAAAACCTAGAGGATCGAATGAGAGCCTGGTGCAGCTCTGGTTTTCAGCACTTGGTGTCTTGTGTTATCTGTTTCTAGAACATCTTTTCACCACAGTTAACTTTGTCAGTAAAAACTAACCTAACATCTTCTGCATTGATCGATCCCAGCATTAACAAGTAGCAATGTTACAATGTTACCACTACACTGTTTTTGCTTTTTCCCTGAAATGAGACTTTTATGACCCCTTAGCCTCTCTGTGAACTATACAGATTACATAACACAATGCTGTGGCGGCAGTACATCACTCCTGACAGCAGCACATAAGATGAAACTCAGTGCCATTCACTGCTCTCTCAGTGTCTGTGATACAAACACACCTGAGCCGTATGATAGGTGCAGACCAATGCAAGCTGCTCACCAGGGTCTTGTACGTTATGCATGATCAAAATAATAGAAAATAAGCAATGTCTTCTTTGTTTATTACAGATCTGCTTGTATATCTTTGCACATTTTTTTGTGTGAAGTAGCTGCTTTTTTTGAGAACTGGTTGTTGGCTGGTCTCCATGACAACCTCACTTTACTTTGATGCCGGCTGCTTTGCATATTCAAATAACAGATGCGGCACGAGTGAATCACCAGTATGAAAACTATTCTAATGATGTAATTCTGCATTGAATGGCTAATACGTTCACCAATATTAATTTATAGTAGCATAACATTTCCAGCAAATAGGCAAGAACAGTGTTTAGATTGTTTACTCCTCGAGCAGCGTTCTTGATTGCCATGTTTGACACTTTTTAGCTACATTGTATAGGTGCATTCAGTAGTATTTTAGCTGGTTTTAACATTGCTGTTCTTCACATATTTTAAGTACCAATACCACAATGGTGTTAGCTGCACCGCCATCTATTGACATGATCATCTCCCAGTTTTTTCTCTTCTGCTCATCGAGGCTGCATTTATTTGATCAAAAATACAGAAAAAAAAACATAATCTTGCAAAATGTTATTACAATATAAAATAATGGTTTCTATTTTAATATTCTTTAAATTATCATTTATTTCTGTGATGCAAAGCTGAATTTCCATCATCATTACTCCAGTGTAAAGTGTCACGTGATCTTCAGAAATCATTCTAATATGCTGATTTATTATCAGAATTATCAACACTTTTGCTGCACAATATGTTTTTTGGAAACTGAGATAATTTTTTCAGGATTCTTTAATGAATAAAAAGTTAAAAAGAACAGCATTTATTCAAAATATAGATATTTTCTAACAATATAAATATTTGCTATCACTTCTGATCAATTTAACACATCCTCGCTGAATAAAAGTTTTAATTTCTTTAAAAAAAAGAAAGAATAAAAATGTACTGACCCCAAACTGTTGAACTGTAGTGTATATTGTTAGAAAAGATTTCTATTTTAAATAAATGCTCTTCTTTTTAACATTTTATTCATCAAAGAATCCTGAAAAAAGTATCAAAGGTTCCAAAACAATATTAAGCAGCGCAACAGTCTCCAACATTGATAATAAATCAGCATATTATACTGATTTCTGAAGATTATGTGGCACTGAAGACTGGCGTAATGATGCTGAAAATACAGCTGCGCATCACAGAAATAAATCAGATTTTAATGTATATTAAAATAGAAAAACTTTATTTTACATCATAATAATATTTCACAATTTTAAATTTTTTCCTGTATTTTTGATCAAATAAATGCAGCCTCGATGAGCAGAAGAGACTCCTGTAAAAACATTAAAAACTGTTCTGATCCCAAACTTTTGAGCGGTAGTGTATATGTTCCAGTTATTTGTCAAAACCATGTTAAAACACCATATAGCATAACTCTTCTGAAGAAGATGACTTTAAAAGGAAAAATACACCTACTTTTACATATGAATAAATTATGCATAGTAGCTTGTGCCAAACTCGGAAACAGAGTCTTCCTGTGACGTCAGTTGTCTTTTAATAAGTAAAAACCTAGAGGATCGAATGAGAGCCTGGTGCAGCTCTGGTTTTCAGCACTTGGTGTCTTGTGTTATCTGTTTCTAGAACATCTTTTCACCACAGTTAACTTTGTCAGTAAAAACTAACCTAACATCTTCTGCATTGATCGATCCCAGCATTAACAAGTAGCAATGTTACAATGTTACCACTACACTGTTTTTGCTTTTTCCCTGAAATGAGACTTTTATGACCCCTTTGTGAACTAGTGAACTATACAGATTACATAACACAATGCTGTGGCGGCAGTACATCACTCCTGACAGCAGCACATAAGAAGTGCCATTCTGCCATTCACTGCTCTCTCAGTGTCTGTGATACAAACACACCTGAGCCGTATGATAGGTGCAGACCAATGCAAGCTGCTCACCAGGGTCTTGTACGTTATGCATGATCAAAATAATAGAAAATAAGCAATGTCTTCTTTGTTTATTACAGATCTGCTTGTATATCTTTGCACATTTTTTTGTGTGAAGTAGCTGCTTTTTTTGAGAACTGGTTGTTGGCTGGTCTCCATGACAACCTCACTTTACTTTGATGCCGGCTGCTTTGCATATTCAAATAACAGATGCGGCACGAGTGAATCACCAGTATGAAAACTATTCTAATGATGTAATTCTGCATTGAATGGCTAATACGTTCACCAATATTAATTTATAGTAGCATAACATTACCAGCAAATAGACAAGAACAGTGTTTAGATTGTTTACTCCTCGAGCAGCGTTCTTGATTACCATGTTTGACACTTTTTAGCTACATTGTATAGGTGCATTCAGTAGTATTTTAGCTGGTTTTAACATTGCTGTTCTTCACATATTTTAAGTACCAATACCACAATGGTGTTAGCTGCACCGCCATCTATTGACATGATCATCTCCCAGTTTTTTTTTTTTTTGTAAACTACACTGATACTCGTGATTTTTAGGTGTACACAATATTTAACAACAACAACAAAAATAAAGCAACTTGGGCATCACTGCTCAGGATTCTCTCTGCTATCTGCAATGCTGTTTCTCTCTTCCTGTCGTCCTTTTCTGCTTCTTTAACCACACAGTCAGGTACTGATTCTCCCATCGTCTCTGCTGTTCCATTATCTAAACTTAGCATCACCAAACTACACTATGCAGCAGTGGTGAGGCTCAGAAGAATAAGCAATAAGTAATAAGATTTGGTGGATGAGTGCTGATCTTCAGGTATGTGCTTCTATTATGGCAAATTCAGTAGCTGTCAACCAACCAACTTCTATTGGTTGATGTTGGAAAACATTGCATCACGTCTCAGATGTATGGAAGGTGGATAGGGCCAAAACCTGTTTTAAACGGAGCGTGCGAAATTTGACCGTGTCAACACGCACTGTTTGTCGGCGTTAATGCGGCAATTTTGAACGCCTTTCTTTTGTATGTGTAGACAAGCACATTGTGGCCGTGTTAAGGCATCAGACTTCACCGCGTTTCTTTAGTACGTGTAAAAATGTTTTACCATGTTAAGATGACGATTTTGAATGCGTCTCTCAATATACACACATTCTGGCCATGTTCAAACATGTAATGCTTTTTAAAGCAGATTTACATCTAGATTTACCCACATATTAATCCTTTCTTTAGTTTATCGCAGCATTGCTTTACTGATAATGGTAATAGAATAAATTAATTAATGTTACAAGTAAATTAAGACATTTCTACCTGAGAAAGAATGCTGAACAACCTGAACCATATTTAAAACCCTTTTTATAATAAACTAGTATTATTGCATATGAATGTACACCATTCGGATGGGAATTTCACACAAAGCATGATTTACAGGGCCAGAGTTTCGATCAAGAAAGACTCATTTTCGCACAATTCCTTGCACTTCATGACTTAAGCACAATTGTAACATGGTGTGAGATTTGAAAACTGATACTTTTGAACGTTGGCGTCACCGTAGGTTTCCTCTGTAGCTCACGCGATACTATGTTTCACAAATCCCGTGAAACTACGGTTCAACAAAACAGCTCAAGGCTGCGTAAAACGTAGTTAAAATAGCACTGTTGCATCAGCGAGTGCATTTTGCCAGTTTAGGGTTGGGTTCGGTGTAGGGGGAATGTTACGATAGAGCATTAACCTTTAAGCGACAATCACCGAACATTTGAATTCTGAACCGCCACAAAAACCTGAACCAACCTAATAAAAATGCTGCAATTCATGCCTGTAACGTGCATTTTAGTGCCACTCACTTTGAAAGTGCCACGAAAGTTACATATTATGAGTGTTACAGAAACCCAATACTACCAGATATTACGGATGCACCAAATGTAGAAAGGTAAGTCAGTACTGATAACCAATAATTGCTTATATATCAATATTGGCCAATATTAGATACACTCTAAAAAATGCTGAGTTGTTTCAACCCAATTTTGGGTCAAATATGGACTAACCCAACTGTTGGGTTAAATTTTGGTTAAATTTTTAAATTAACTTTTTAACCCAACGGTTGGGTTAGACCATATTTGACCCAAAATTGGGTTGAAACAACCCAGCATTTTTTAGAGTGTATAAATATACATTTTGTAAAATTGAACCTTAAAATTTCAGATGTCTATGTGCTTGAAATGGCAAATGTTGGCCTGCTATGAACCACTGGTGTAAAGAATGATACATACCTGTGGACAAACTTATTATATAAAAGCACAATGATAAATATAGCTTTCTCAGAGACAGCAAAAATAAAGAAGCATGACATTGCTTTAAAAAAAACAAAACATGTGGCCCCATGACCAGTTGGCTGGAATTTACTAGCTTAATTTTTCTCTTACCTATGATCCGATATGGATTTGACCATCAATAAATCATGCATCTCTACCAGATACCCAGGTTTGAGATTCTCTTTGCGTTTTCTCTGCCTTCTGAAGAGCTTCAGCTCTGTGGCCTTTGGAAGTCAGTGCAATTTAATCCAGTTAATCTGTCAAAAAGGATATTTAGGAAAATGATGTGTTGAACATTTGCAGTGTGCACTGTATAATCACATGTAGACTTGGGTCATTGATTATTTAAGATCTGAGAAACAAATCCCATAATCAACACTTACAGAACATCAGTACTGATATGCATCTTCTAAACTGAGTTATACTGTACCTCTCCCAAAAACTTTACATCACTGAACTATTTGCATTGTTTATAATTCAGCAAAGATTGCTTTCCATTTTGAAATCGACTATATTAAGTTACAGTGGAACATCTTTATATTCAACACCATTTTATTAGTAATTGTTGGTATTCGTGCAAACATGCATTTTTGTAAGTTTGCACAGATAATGAAACGTTTAAAAAAAAAAGTATTTAGAACATATTTAACTATGTAAAAATTGAAGTTGAAAGCAACTTCAGAGATCAATTCACGTCAATATTTATGAATCCTTTTAGGTGCATAGAATGAATATCTATAAGATTAAAAGAATTGCATCATATTTTTAATGAGTTTACCTGATTTGGTATTATAAGAGTTTAATACAGTTTATATCCCAGTGTAAACATTATGTACAAATCCTTACAAAAAGTAATTAAATCAAGATTTGGATGGTTATTTTGTATGATATGATGTATTTTTGTATGCTAACAAGGCATCTATTTTTGCCTTTCGGTTTGTATGGTAACAAAAGCTAATGCCAAAAATGTTTGGAAAAGCAACAAAGTGAACATGGAGCGGTTCGTGTTCATAATGCACATCACAAAATAAACTATACGATACTGAAAACACTATTTCAGAGTGTCACTGATTGGTTACACTTTATTTTAAGGTGTCCCTGTTACAGTGTAATTATACCTTTAAGTACTTAGTAATATTACTTAACTTACTATAGAACAATGTACTTATTATAGAGTTAGGGTTAGGTTTAGGGTTAGTTACATGTAATTATGCATATGTAACATGTAACAAGGACACTGTAAAATAAGTAAAAAGTGTCACCTAGTAATTTTGCAACATCAAAGATAGCAGTTTTATTTATTTGGAAGTTGCATTCAAATCAGCGTGCCTCAAAAACCTGAAAACCAAAAATTTGAATGGGAATTACGCGTCTGCTTTGCGCATCTTTCCATCCGTTTTAATCACCATCTCTATTCCTCTGTTCTCCCAGATCAGCATCTTGGACTCCAAGAGAGGAATGAACATTGGGATCTTCCTCAAACAGTTCAAGAAGTAAGTTAACCAGCGTCATCGTGTGTAAAAACCTGCGTGTGCATGAGCTCCAGCACAGAAATAGGATCTGGCGGTCAAGGGAAATCCGATGCTCTTGTGTAAAGATCAATAGCTTTCAGGTTCTGATTGATGCTTGCGAGTTCACACGAGGATGCCGTCTGCACTCACTGTGACGAGTACTAGATTTTGTTTATTTTTGAACAGGTTTTTCCACATCCTCTGCACTGTAAATGATTATGCAAAAAGACAATGCTTTCTTCTGTGATCAGTTAGTTAAATCATATTTATGTCACTCATGCAGGAGACGTTGTTACAGTTAGTCCCAGGCTTCACGAGCAAAGCATCGGGGGGAAAAAGCAATGCACTTGTCATGTTTTTTGTGCAACGTTTTCACACCTTTTCGACTTATTATTCGTATTTGAAAGAGTCATTATCTAGAGACATATTCATTTTGTGTTTTATGAAAAGAAGTAATCACCAAAACATGTTAGAAAACAGCTCAAATGCAGATTTCCAGGAGGGGCAGTATACAGTATGTGCTCACTTTTGGCAATCAGTCAGTAGTTAAATAGTTAAAAATCATTGTGTTTTGCTTGTACGGGATTTTTGTGTGCCGTTGAATACAAAAGAAGGCATTTTGAAGAAGTCGGTAATCAAACAGTTCTTCAAATATCTATATTACTACTACAGCGTACGGAAAATACAGGATAAGAAAAATTTTCCATAATATGTCACTAAATATCATCTCAGTCAGCAATTTGAGGTTAAGTGTTAGTTTTTTCATCACTAGATAATAGGCTGAGTACTAGGACTGAGTGTTATTTTAGTATTATTTATCTACTGTTTTAGTATTTATTAACATTTTGAATTTATTTTTCATTTAGTCATTTTGTTAAGTATTGCACTTATTTTTATTCGTTTCTTTTTCATATTTCTATTTAGATTACATTTTTAAATGTCTTTAAATTTTAGTAATTTTAGTACTTGTTTTATTATGAGTAACGAGTCGTGAGATGAACATTGTGCTTCGGGCTACTGAAGATAAGAGCATATCATATTTTTGAAGATTTTTGAAATTTAATCAGGAGTAATAATTGTGATTTCTTTCAGCGAAGCAGGCAAAAGTGTGGACCGATAAACAGTAGAGTGAACTTTTAGCAGGATTTGATTCTTGTCGAGTGCAAATAGTGATCTTTGAATTTATTTTATGTTGGATATCAAATGTTTGGTAACCATAATTCATATAAATTTGTATAGTCAAAATTCCTAGCTTATTGCTATTGTGACATACCTTCATTAAAAATACAGACTTGTATATAGTTTTTAGAGCCAGTGTTGATGGTATGCAGTGTAATATACCCCTAACCTTACCTTATGCTTAATTTGATGTACTGTAAGTACGTAGTAATTCATCCAATATTGTGAAGGTACAGGTTTCTCTGCATCATACACTGAAGTGTCCTACAAAGGGTTAATCTCATGCACTGACCAGTTGCATGGCTGAAGCAGAGCCAAAACTGAATCGTCTGTTTTGTACGTGTGTTTTTCTCCCTCAGGTCCAATCATGCAATAGTGGAAGACATTCGTCTGGGCAACAGTAAGCAATATGGAGCAGAACCGCTGAAAGAACTGCTCAAACTTCTACCAGAAGCACAGGAGGTGAGACTTATCTTACATGTACACTGTATTTGTGTATGGCTCCATTTCTGGTGAATGGCAGCTGCTAATAACGTCACAAATGTACAGCAACACATACAGGAGTAAACGAGATACAATGTGTGTTATAAACACATTTGCCACATTTGCTGGCAGTCAGCGATGCATACAGCATAGCCACATCGCATTTGTAGTGTATTTGCTGCATTAATGCATCCTAATGTGTCCTAAACAACATTAAAAGACAACTCCTGTAACAAATAATCCTTACACCGAAACAAGGTTTTGATATCAGCATGCAGTGACATACTGATGTATTAAGTGACGTATATGTAGTTACAAAATCAGAGCCTCTTCTCAATAAAATGCAATCACAAGCGGTTGCTGGAGACGCATTGCTGATGCCAGCGAGTGTTATTTATATACTATTTTTAATTAGTTTTTCATTTTTCATTTTTTTGAACTGTGTTTTTATTAACTTTTAAAAAAAAACAGAACAATATACACATAACATTTACTTAAAATCTTAATACTTAAAAAAAATACTAATTAAAAAAGGATAAATAAATAACCATACAAAATGGAAAAGACAGCTTACATAATATTTTTTAAAAAACGTTTTGTTAAGTACTTTTGTCATTTCTATCTATTTTTTAAAATTATTATTCATATCTAGCTTTAATACATTTTGTATCTCTTTATATTTGAGTAATTTTACTACTTATTTATATTATTAGTAACTTATCTAATTTCAATTAGTATCTAAGGCAACATTTCTAATGGTTGCTTATTTTTTATATTTACTTATATTTATCATTTATTGTATTTCAGCTTTACTTCAATTAACAAACATTATTTTTAAGTATGATTTTTGAGTTTTAGGTTTAGTTAACATTAACAACAGTGTTAGGGCCAATGGATACTTTATAAGGAATGTGTATTTATTATTATTAATATATTTTTGTTAACTAGAGCCTGTACTTGGCACTATCTGTAATCTTTAATCAGATGAATGGGTCTATGTTGAGATATAAATTAGGGAGGCACCAATTTTAATATTTCTGGCTAATAATTATGTGTGTTATATACAGGAATTGATAAATGGCAGAAATTTTAATTTATACTATGCATACTATTTTCATCACAACATAATGAAAAATGGACATTAAGTTTGATGTTTGCTAAAGATTGTTATTAAATTATTAGCGCTTTAAAGATTAACATTAAGTGTTAGATGACAGCAAAGGTAATATCTATTATAATAAAGGATCTACAATAAATCTACCAATAAATCACTAGGTGAAGAGATTGCGGGAATTCAAAGGAGACCCAAATAAGCTGACTCTGGTCGATTCCTTCATGTTCCTGCTGATTCAAGTGCCATGGTGAGATCTCTCTGATGAATGAAATACAAAACACCTAACAACATACACAAAAGGCAAGTCAGTTATGATCGTCTGTTCACTTTTACAGCTATGAAGTGCGTATTGAGGCTATGGTACTTCAGGAAGAGTTCCTCCCGTCCTGTGCGGTCATGAATCATGAGATTAACATCGTGCGTCGGGCTACTGAAGGTAAGGACATTCTGATGTTTATGTCAAGTTTTGGAGGAATTTTTTACTTTCATCTAGAGTAATATATGTGCCCCTGCAGCACAAAAGCAGTGTTGAGTCGCTGGGGGATATTTGTAGCAATAGCCAACAATATATCGTATGGGTCAAAATTATAGATTTTTCTTTTATGCCAAAAATCATTAGGATATTAAGTAAAGATCATGTTCCATGAAGATATTTTGTAAGTTTCCTACCGTAAATATATCAAAACTTAATGTTTGATTAGTAATATGCATTGCTAAGAACTTCATTTGGACAACTTTAAAGATGATTTTCTCAATATTTAGATTTTTTTGCACCCTCAGATTCCAGATTTTCAAATAGTTGCATCTCAGCCAAATATTGTCCGATCCTAACAAACCATACATCAATGGAAAGATTATTTATTCAGCTTTCAGATGATGTATACATCTCAATTTCACAAAAATGACCCTTATGACTGGTTTTGTGCTCCAGGGTTGCTCATTTGCTCAAAATGTCATTTTTTCAGCAACTTTTTTAGCAGGATTCGATTCGTGCATTTTACCGAGTCATTTTTTTGTCACTCAGCTGTGCCTGTATTAGAAACCAATGACTCATGACCTTTCTACTCCTCGGCAGCGTTGAAACGTGAAGATATGGCACTTCATTAATGCTGGGAGCCTTTAGCAAAACTCAAATTGAGTTTTATTAATCTTGCATGAACTAATTCTAGCAGTCGTCATGCCGTCAGCACTTTTTTCTAACTTAAATGCGGATTCGATTCCTTTAAATGTCTTTAGACAGTAGAAAGGATAGCATTTAGAGTGTTGGTGTTGTGTAGTTGTAATTTAATTCAGTTTCCATTGATTATTCCACAGAACTAATGGCTTGTGAAGAGCTCCATGCCATTCTACACTTGGTTCTCCAAGCGGGAAATATCATGAATGCAGTAAGTCTCTTTCTGTCTCTTCGTTTATTGTCTTTCCAGTGTTCCTTTACCCCTCATCTTCCCCCTTTTTGTGGACATTTCCCCCAATGCTCTTTTCACCTTTGCTCTCAATATTTAGATTTTTTTGCACCCTCAGATTCCAGATTTTCAAATAGTTGCATCTCAGCCAAATATTGTCCGATCCTAACAAACCATACATCAATGGAAAGATTATTTATTCAGCTTTCAGATGATGTATAAATCTAAATTTCACAAAAATGACCCTTATGACTGGTTTTGTGCTCCAGGGTTGCTCATTTGCTCAAAATGTCATTTTTTCAGCAACTTTTTTAGCAGGATTCGATTCGTGCATTTTACCGAGTCATTTTTTTGTCACTCAGCTGTGCCTGTATTAGAAACCAATGACTCATGACCTTTCTACTCCTCGGCAGCGTTGAAACGTGAAGATATGGCACTTCATTAATGCTGGGAGCCTTTAGCAAAACTCAAATTGAGTTTTATTAATCTTGCATGAATAAAAAGTCGTCATGCCGTCAGCACTTTTTTCTAACTTAAATGTGGATTCGATTCCTTTAAATGTCTTTAGACAGTAGAAAGGATAGCATTTAGCGTGTTGGTGTTGTGTAGTTGTAATTTAATTCAGTTTCCATTGATTATTCCACAGAACTAATGGCTTGTGAAGAGCTCCATGCCATTCTACACTTGGTTCTCCAAGCGGGAAATATCATGAATGCAGTAAGTCTCTTTCTGTCTCTTCGTTTATTGTCTTTCCAGTGTTCCTTTACCCCTCATCTTCCCCCTTTTTGTGGACATTTCCCCCAATGCTCTTTTCACCTTTGCTCTTTCTTTTCAACTACTCCTCCAAAACATTCCCTGACATTTTTAGATCAGGAAGGGTTGATGGCTTTTACAGCACTGAGCAGACACTGACTGATGTTCTCTGTGTGTTCATAGGGTGGCTACGCAGGCAATGCTGTGGGCTTCAATCTGTCCTCGCTTCTCTCTCTGGCTGACACGAAGGCCAACAAGCCTGGCATGAACCTGCTTCATTTTGTGGCACTAGTAAGTGGGACAGATCCAGATGCACTGTAGTTTTCTCCAGATTTATTGATCCATTTTTGTAAATGTTTCAGGAAAACGTTTTATTTTAACTGCTTTTCTCACGAAGGAAGCGCAGAAGAAGGATGAGGCCCTTTTGAAGTTCCCAGAGAAGCTAACGCATGTTCAGAGTGCAGTCAGGTAACAACAATAATAGTTTCTGATGCAAGGAAGCTTATAATTTCATTACTTGTATGAAACGTTTGAACACCTTAAATTGAGTTGTTTTAAAGGGGTCATATGATGCGAGTTTTCCGTTCTCTTCGGAGTGTTACAAGCTCTTGGTGCATAAAGAAGATCTGTAAAGTTGCAAAGACTAAAGTCTCAAATCCAAAGAGATATTCTTTATAAAAGTTAAGAGTCAGCCACACCTACCTAAAACGGCTCGTTCTAACACGCCCCCACATGTCTACCTCACTATGTGGGAAGATTTGCATAACGCCGCCCAAATGTTCACGCAAAGAAAGAAGGCGTAACTTTTATTCTCGCTGTAGTATTGTTGTTGCTGCCGCCGCCATGTCGTGAAGACGCTGTGTGTTTCGTTGTGAAAGCGAAACTACTTTGTTTGGTCTTCCAAAAGAGGACGATATCCGCTTCGTCATGCCTGGAGCTGATCCGTGCTGGTCGCTGAGGAAATACATCAGCTTCGCTGTGGATCGCCGGATCGGCTTTCAGTTGTTTGTCATTTCTCCGATCACAAATGCAGACATGGTTTTATGTTTATGCGGCGCGATGCAACGCAACGCGTAAAAAGACAGTATAAGTCATTATAATCAGTAATTATGTCTCCACTGGATGCAACGAATGCCTCGTTTATAATGGGTTTTCATGTTTTTGTCTCGTCGCTCCGGCCGGACAGGGCATCACAGTATGGTGAGGGGCGTAACATTTCCGTCACACGCTTGAGGTATTCGGCCAATCACAACGCACTGGATAGCTGGCCAATCACAGCACACCTCGCTTTCAGACCGATGAGCTTTGTAAAAATCGACGCGTTTCAGAAAGGCGGGGCATAGAGGAGAAACAATAATGTACAGTATGTGGAAAATAATGTGTTTTTTGAACCTTAAACCGCATAAACACATTTCATTACACCAAATACACCAAATAATATTATTTTTAGCAGCATCATATGACCCCTTTAATACTGTATTAATCCTGTAAAGGCTACAGCAGTATCAAACCAAACTACCAAACGTCTATTTTGATTTAAGTACCAGTGTTGGGAAGGTTACTTTGGAAATGTAACAGGTTACAAATTACATGTTACTCTATTTAAAATGTAATAAATAGTGTAACTATTTTAATTACTTTATTAAAGTAATGTAACTGATTACATGTGATTACGTTTCTAAATTTCATTTTCAAACATTTAAAGCAGGCAAGACTTTCAGAATCCTTCTTCACTTGCATTAAGATTATAATAATTTAATTTTAAAGCACAGCCACCACAAAAAATCTGACTTTAGCACCTCTATTTACTTTGAGAACATTCTGAGGTTAAATACAGATTTAAAATCACAACAAGAAATAGTTTAATAGCTATGTTTTTCAAATCTTTGTATAGTTATGACAGGAAACACTGGCATTTAACAATGCCTTGGGGAAAAAAACAGTTAATCCTAAAAAATAAAGCATATAGATAAACCCAAATGGTAAATAAAAAAGTTACTGCACATTGGGATAGAAATCAATCAAATCTGTATATGTGTGAAAATATTCAGATGTAACCCTCTTTGTAATTGTTAACATTACACATTTCTTCTCAGTAACTGTAACTGATTACAATTACATTTATTTTGTAATTAAATTACGTAATTTAGTTTCATGTAACTAGTTACTAGTGTTGGGCTTTTTCTTAGAAATGTAGTCCTTATTTAGCCTACTCAAACTTTCTATGAGCCCTTCCTTGATCGTTCTCTGGCTTACTTGCATTTTTATTGTTGTAGAATTTCAGTAGAAAATATAGAAGGAGAGTTTTCCTCTCTCTATGTCAAAACACGGTCTTTGGAGCAGAAGATTCAGGATGACGGTGAGCTACAACAGCAGCTAGATCCATTTTTGCAGGTAAATGAATCATTCCCTCAATTTTTTTTGTATATTTCCATTGTATTTATTTTTTCATTTTATTTACTATAATGGATTAATGTTTTTTTAATGTCAATAAGAATGGCTCACCTGCTTTCTTATTTGTTAGAGCTCTACACAGGCCCTGCAGGACCTTAAACATCGCAGGCTGGACTTGCGCAAGGAGGGTAATGCCCTCATCGACTTCTTCTGTGAAGACAAAGACACCTTCAAACTGGATGAGTGCTTTAGAATTTTCCAAGATTTCTGTCTAAAGTTCAGAAAAGCTGTAAAGGTACATATCACATTGACTAACATGCAAAAGTTAAGATTAATTTAAAAAACAATAAATTAAATAATTTAATATAAAGTAATTAAGAGTTTATTTGTCAAGACTTTAAAGGCCAGGACACACCAAGCTGATCGTTTGCGGTAATGCGTGAGGGGGTTTATATGAATGTATCTCTGAGAGGAACCGACCGTTTTCAGAAATGTTTTGATGGCATTTTCTTTTCATCTTACTGCCCTGCAGGACCTTAAACATCGCAGGCTGGACTTGCGCAAGGAGGGTAATGCCCTCATCGACTTCTTCTGTGAAGACAAAGACACCTTCAAACTGGATGAGTGCTTTAGAATTTTCCAAGATTTCTGTCTAAAGTTCAGAAAAGCTGTAAAGGTACATATCACATTGACTAACATGCAAAAGTTAAGATTAATTTAAAAAACAATAAATTAAATAATTTAATATAAAGTAATTAAGAGTTTATTTGTCAAGACTTTAAAGGCCAGGACACACCAAGCTGATCGTTTGCGGTAATGCGTGAGGGGGTTTATATGAATGTATCTCTGAGAGGAACCGACCGTCTTCAGAAATGTTTTGATGGCATTTTCTTTTCATCTTACCTCCATATAATGCATATTAAAGTAGTGTTTATAAGCGCAGCTGCTTTGTTTACAGCAGTAACCAAGGAAACACTGTATCGCTGCTGTTCCATAAGCGCCACCTGCTGTCAGAGAATAAATCTGCATTTTCATTCAGTCCGTCTGCTGTTTTTGTTTTGTACAGGTGCCTTATGTAGCATAATTTCACATCTAAAGTCAGAGCCTTCTGTTTTTTCTTTAAATCACGAAATTATACAATCTAATTCAAATCAGAAACAACTGCTCATGCTACATGTATGTAGCACTACAGTCTGTTCAAAATAAATGAAAAAATAAATTTCCTGTTGTACCGAACTCATATCGAACCGTGATCCCAAAACTGAGGTAAGCACGCACCGAACCGTTACTTCTGTATACTATTACACCCCTAGTATACCTCGTATTGTTTTGGTTTTTCCTTTTGAATGATGAATATAGACTATTGATAGCTGCTGATGTACACAGTAAATTCCTTTCACGCAGACGCAGAATGCACATCACTGTAGCCTGCGCCGTGTGTTCAAGCGCAGCTTTTTGATTCAGACGCAGCTGATGCGAGGCGACAACACCGGCGACTTTTGTCGCCACTGGTTCTTTGAAGTCGGCTTGGTGTGTCCCAGCCTTAAGGCTACAAATCATGCTACAGATCATATATCAGTGAACACAAACTCCTATAGTGATCTCTTGTCCACTCTCCTGCAGGACAACCTGGACAGGGAACAGAAAGAGGAAGCTAGACAGCGGCGCTTACAGGAACTGGAAGAGAGACGGTGTGCCTGGGGTGCAGCCAATGCTGAGGCGGGTGGTAGTGGAGGTTTTGGTCGCAGCAGCAGCGAAAATGATGTTGACATCCTAACCAAAGAAGGCCTCCTGGACTTCCTGATTCAATCAAGACCTCAAAGCCCCCACAGTCCTTTGGGGCGCTCGGCAAGTGCCCACCGTTACCATCACACAGAATTGATCTCTGCGTCTACAGCAAGTGACTATACAAAATTCAGCAGCCTGCCACGTTCAGGCAGGAACCATCAACGAAAGACCATGGCATGGCTTCTCTTACAGGATGATAATAGGGAGCTGGATCCACAAAGTCAGGCTTACCAAGAGAAGCTAGTTTCTTCACCAAAGGCTGAGACAGAACCCATCAGTCCTTTAGCTAGATACTCAAGTTTTGGCTACAGCACGAACAATAATCCCTACCATAATAATAATAATAACACGTCTCTCTCAGAAAGTGGAGTTACACCTCAAATAAGTAACACAAAGCACGGGACATCTGGTCAAAGTGTTGGACACATGAGTGTCTCTGTGGAGAAACACAAACTAGTTCCAGGCCTTCAACCCTTTGAGATAACCAGCCAGATCAATAATAACAGTCATGTTTCTGTGGATAACCAGCGTGAAGTGTTTGTAACAGATCTGGAAAGAGATGAAGACTCTCCAAAAGCATTTGTCCTTGATACACCCCCATCTAGTCGGAGTTCTGAGGAGGGACCTAAACCAGAAAAATTATGGAATGACAAAATGATCTCATCACAGAGAGAGGAAGCAGACTCGAGTACTTTTTCCTCAACAACTTGTGACACCCCATTGCCTCTGGATCCCCCTGTTTCCGGTAAGAAACCTGTGTTGTATGTTATGGACTGCACTGAGACGGATTGTTCCATTGTGTTGGACTGTTCCGAGATTGAGAGTTCTCCTATCATAAAAGAAAGATCTGAACTTAGCCCAAAGCCACAGGAAGCCAACTTTTCAAGAGTTATTCAGGACACCAATTCTCTTTCCTCCAATTTTGAGTCCACCGATTGTCACTTTGTGTCCACATCAAGTGATGAACCACTTGTGGGAAGGGTCAATCGAGCATGTCCAGAATCCGTCAGTCCATCGGTAACTACTGAGGAAGCAGAGACAGATAGCTGTGACACAGCTGAAGGGCGAAGAGTTGGCGAGAAAGCATTTCAGACCGGTAGCCCCAAAGCAACACTTGTCAAAACCAAGATTCCATCCAAAGCAATTGCTCATGCCAGCCGTCCGACAAGAACCCTCACAGCAACTGAGACCCAGAACATGCGCAAAGTGGTGCCCATTACAAGGCAGAATCGATCTAGTAGCAGCATAAGGAAAGTCGAAAAACCTCCCGGACATGAGAATATTGTACCCAGACGTCCAATTCGTGACCAAAGCATGCCAGCCAGGAGAGGCGAGAGGCAAGGTAGACCTACACGACATTCAAGTCTCCCTCCAGAGGATCCCAGGGCACCAAGAGGAGCGACGCCAAGCACCTCTCGGTGGGTGAGGGACTCGGCTCAACACAGACCTTCCATCAAGAAAACGAATGCCAAAACTGTTCGTAACATTTCAAAACCAGCACCAGAGGAAAAGATGTGTCGTTCTACGATGCGCGCCTTGGCCCAAGCTCAGGCCCAAGGAACCTCAGAAGGAGGAACACCTGACAGCCCCAGCAACATCCCGAAAAGTTCTTCGCCTTTGCCTAGCTTTGCTCGCAACACTGTGGCATCTTCTTCCAGAACTAAAAAAGACTTGCCCTCACCTGCTGTAACAGGAACACCATCAAAGAACTTATCCAGGAGTAGCTCTCAGAGATTGCCTGGTGGTAGAACGGACTCTGTCAGTAGCGTACCTTTGCCAAGGAGTGAGGATAAACCTATTAGGAGGGTTCAGAGTGTAAGGGCCTCCAGTCGAATCAGTGAGACACCTCCTTCACAGTCTGGACAAGAGCGCTCCCTTAAAAGTAGCAGTTTCTCAGAGAGATCCATACAGATTAGAGACTCCATCTTGAGCAGGACCAACAAACCCACATGGAAGTAGAGTGAACATATTACACAGTGGCTCTAAAAACACTGTTAAACAAGGATGATCAAAATTTTCTGCATATAGTGAAGAGGCACAAAAGCCTCTTAAATGATTCTGAATGTATCTATAGCCTTTAAAATGTAGCTAAAGTTGTCGCTAGATGCTCAGTCAAGCAGAAAGTATACTTTGGTTTTTATGTGAGTGCGTGTGACGCAAATTTCTTCACCAGAATAAGTAAGCGCACCACCTGATTTTTGTAACCGTGCGAACTTTACGCGCAGGTCGCACATGTGCATTGAATTTGTTTTGCACTAATCATTTGTTCCACAAGGTGGCAGCACTGGCCCACGCCGTGGTTTCACAGTATAAAATTAAACTATAAAGACGGAATAACAACAACAACAAAAACAGACGGCCACATTGACAAGCGCTTGCGTGAGGGGGTTATGAGAGAGCAGAAACTTTAGTTTAACCTGTTAGCGTTCCACGGTACACTGCGTGTTTTAGGCGATTTAGGCAAATTTTACAGGAATGCTAAGGGGTTAAAAGAGTACAAAGATATTTTTATTGCTTATAACTTCTGGAGAACAATAGAGCAGACACTGGACAAAGATGAAGCTTTCTAGAGCATATATTTTGACCACCTGTGTTCACGCACAATATCAAATGAAGTGTACTTTGAAAGGCTATGTGTTCAGCTGTACGCATACGCTAACGTACGTGTAAAGGCCCAAGTATACTTTGTTTAGGTTATGTGCACAGTGGTACGTGTAGCCTTTCAAAGTATAGTTGTGTGTACGTGAATGCAGGCTGTCTACACATGCACTCTAGAAAGCTTCATCTTTGTCCAGTGTCTGTGCTATTTTTCTCAAAAAGTCATGACCGATAAAAAGTTCTTTGTGCTCTTTTAATCTGAAGTTGTGGCTCTTTCATAACCCCCTCACACAAGTGCATGTCAATGCAGGTGTCAGTTGTTGTTGCAGTCTCTTTAGTTTAGTTTTCTTCTGTGAAACAATGGCCTGGGACAGTGCTGCCACCTTGTGGAACAACTGATTATTGCTTAACCAATGCACATGTGTGACCTGCGCCTGCAAGGTGATGAAAGTTGCGTCACGCTCACTGTATCCTGCCGTACACTTAAAAACCGAAGTATACTTTGGCCTTAAGAAAACAAAGTATACTTTGGGCTTCAGATTTTCAAGAATGACGTGAGCTACTGTCACCATTTGACAGCACATTTAGTAGCACTTCCACATCCACCTGAGGATGGTTTTGATGGCCTTTTCTTACATATACTTGATACATTATCAACTGTCACAGAAAACACATCAATCACAAATTGTAATTAGTGTTAGATTAACCCTATTTTATAATCTCTATTAATTCTACAAAGATCTTGTGAGCTGTTCTCACAAATTGCTGAAAATAGAAGACAACTTGTCATATATCCATATGTTTGCTTTGTAATTTTATATAATATGAGGTAAATGTAGTACTGTTTACTAGGGTAACATTTCCATTAAAACAGCTTCATGGGCACTCAAAGGTTCATCCACATTTCACATAAATGTTTTCTGTGCATGATGACAAATCAAGCTGAAGACTCTTTGATGAATATGTCTATGAATGTTATCCAAATACACCTTAGTGTAGCTGATGCAATGAGTACTACAGCTATAGTAGTTCGAAGATGCCTCTCCAGTGATTTTTTGGGACATTTTCTAAATCTTTGCTGCTGAGTTGCTTGTTTTCAAATTGCCTTTTCGTGCAGGGTACATGCTGCTGTACACTGTCTTGCTGCTGATGACACTGTATTTGTGACTTTTCTGTGAATATACTGCTAGCTCTTTCTTTTTAAAGCCATACTGTTAACCGGGAGTGGCAAAACCTGGTGCTAGAGGAAAGGCTAGTTTTAGCCCAAACTTTTGAGAAAGCACATACACTGTAGTCAACAAACGTACGTGTTGCTCAGAACTAACAAATCAGTGTTAGAATAAGTGGCAACACTTTGCAATAAGGTTCTAAACATTAATTCAGTAGTTAACATGAAATAACAATTAACTAGGGATGCACGATAATATCGGAACGTTATCGAAATCAAAATCGGCCGATAATGGCTTAAAATGCAAATATCGGCATCGGCCCGATATGAAAAATTATGCCGATATGCCTTACCGATAAGACGAGTAACTCGCATGTTCTCAGGGTGTGACAGCGATAAGATCACGTCAGCAGTGAGCTCATTCTTGAAGTGAACTTTTTCCTGAATGATGATTAGATTCACTGTTTTGATCTGAGAATGCAAGTACAGAATGAGGCGTCTGGTGTGCAATAGAGTCAGTTACTAGTGCGAGCAGCAGCGGGTCCTAATGCTCGTCCAGTAAGGCATTTTATTTACTTGTTGGCCTACTTGTAATAAAATGAAAGTAAAATACACAAATAACATTAAGATTGTATTTCTGATTAAATAAAGCAGTAATTGATGTCATAAAATCACGAGAATGGTTTGATTTAAAGGTCAGAAGGTAGCTTACATGAATAAAAACAAACAAGACACTTGTAAATTAAATAATTGATATATATACAGATTTATTCATTATGTGTAATATGTTTTTTTTTTTTCAAATGGATTATGAAAACTCAATATTCAAATAAAATGTTAAGGATTGCTTTATAGTCACTTTATAGTTATTTTCAAAGCTTTCAATGTACTCTCATTATAAAAGAACTTCATTGTTTATTTAATTTTCAAAAGCAAGTTTTTATTAAAACCAAACTAACCAAAATGAAAAATAATTTGTTTACAATCTCTGTACAGGAAAGACTTGGTGTTGTTTCCAAACAAAAGGAAATATATCGGTATCGGCATCGGCTATCAGCCAAAATTTGTTTAAAAATATCTGATATCGGCAAAAATCCAATATCGTGCATCCCTACAATTAACCATATTTTACTTAATTTATTAGGTTAATATTAATTTCTATACGCTAATGCATTTGTAGCAAGTTTTTAAAAATGTAAAATTAACATTAGTTAATGTATTATGAATGAACATAAGTTAACAATGAACAATAGTACAGTATATTAATAAATTAACATGAACCTACTGCAGATTAATACATGCTATAAATTTGTTGTTCATTGTTAGTATTAGATACCTAATGCATTAACTAATCGGTTAATTAACCAATTTGCATTAACGAATTGAACCAAAGTGTTACTGGTTAAGCATAATTAGTGGATTAATAGAGTGGTAAAAGCTGAGCCAGACTTGCCCAGGAAGGCTTTTTACATGCTTTTACCCTTCTGCTATGTGTGTTTACTTCTCAAGCTCCCACCATGTTGGTGAAGGAGGGCGTAAATGATATACTCAAAATGGAGTTATATAAAATTAATATACATTTTTTTTTAAAATGAATAGGTAAACATTAATAGATTGTTGTCAGCTGATGAAATCCTAATGAAAAATCCTAATTTCTACCTCTAGAATCATATTTGCCACCTCTGGTTCTTATATTCTGATGGCTCACTCATCAAGTGAATCATTGGCTTTTCACAAAGTTCTGCAGGTGTACCTCAGTTACAATGTACAATGCCTTTTTTGTTTGTTTTTAGAAAAGTTTATGTATTGACATATGTGTATATTTAGCACCGATTGGTTAACATGCTTTAGAACGCATCCATGGCAACATGGTGAAGTCTGACACAATGGAGTCCTCGTTCCAGCTGTAGGAGTTTAACCTAAAAATATTTTTAAAAACTAGTCAAATTTGGAGCAAAATCTCTTTAAGCTATACTGTAACTCTGAAATGAAACCTAATGTGCATTTGTCCAGTCAGGCAGTTGAGCATAAATGTCAACGTGTTATACATTTTATTGATATTTTCTATTTTGAATGTGTTTTCTGAGCCCTGTCCTCTGTGATTATAGAAGCACTCTACAAGTAATCAATAAAATACATGTATATGAATATTTCCATCCACTGATTCTGAATTACAATGATGCAGTCATTTTGTGGGGGAAAGGTTGATGATTATTATTATTTAGCTATAAAGTGCTTGTTTAGTTATATAACCATGATTCGTTTTTGACAAAGGCCACTTTTTTTTCTTTTTCTTTTTTTTTGAACCACACCCAGTGTTTAGTTGTGTGAGAGAGATAAAGCGACAGATGCAAATGAAGCATAGCAATACAAACCAAAAGAGAGAACCTGTGAATCATCCAGATAACAGCAAAAAATCGAATAGAACAAAAATATCACCATTTTCATTTGCCTTTGCACACATTACAGCACTAAAGCTCAACGCACCACCATAGCTCAGGCCAAACACTGGTTTTATCCTGTTGTTTTAAAGGTTTCCTCTACTAGAATGCCACCTGCTGTTGATTCTCTGAAGGTTAATGCTGGCTTTTCCCACATCCTGACTTTTATGGTGGTCTCTGTTCAAGCTCTTCAGCTGCCATGGTTATGCTGTTCCATTGGAGAACTATTTACCCTTAAAGGCGCTTTCATTTGTATCACTCTAAATATCAAATTACTGTACAACTTAAAGTGAAAACACCTCTGTCCATGGCACTTAAAGGGAGAGTTCACTTAAAAAATAAATTAATAATAATTATTTTCTCCCCCTCGTGTCGTTCATAACCTGTATGACTGCAGAACACAAAAGAAGATATTTTGAGGAATGTTGAGGGGGAAAAACACGTCTCAAAGCAATATCTTCTGAAGAAAGGCATACATTTGAGGAACTGTATTAAATAAATAAATCATTACAGGAGGCAAAATACTTCATATAGAGGTTAATGTAGCTACGACAATATTACTGCACAGTTGTACAGAAAGCACATACTTTGTGGTCAAAACGAGCCTAAAATGCAAAATAATACGCCTGATTAGAGATAGTAAAAATTCATTTCCAAAATCACATAAAATAATTTGAAAAGTTGCAATTACTTTATACTCGCAGTTTGTGAAAATGTTCAATACAGTCAGAAAATGTTTGTTAAGTTTTATTCATCATATGTTCTCATTCTTATTGTTTCATTTTTAATATGTTTTTATAAAGTCAGAATATTATTATAATCCTATTTTTATCTGTTTACTATTTGCAATAGTTACTATTTACTTTTCATAGTGTGATTTTTGGTGAATTGTAGGCCTATTAATAAACTAAGGTAAGTTTGATCCTCAAACGCTATTGTAATTATTAATTATGATATTAATATATGGAAACCACAACAATTAAAAACAAAAACATTCACAAATATATTGCCACCGTTTTTTAATTTGTAGATAATCACAAATGATATTTTGACCACTGAACTCAGAAATGTCCCTGAATGTTCATTTCAGAAATCTGGACACCTTCGTCTGAGAGCATGCTTTCAGGTAAAACATGGAATGGCAAAACTGTTTTCATTTAATTCACTGTAAGTCATTTCGGATAAAAGCCAAATATCGAGCGAGAGTGTTCATTTGTTTCTGCAGTGGTGTATTCTTAGCACATAATGAATCCAGAGAACCCTCAATAAATCAAATAGAGAGAAAAGTTGAATTCACGAAACCAGAATCAACATAAAAGTATGTATGGAGTCCTTCAACAGTAATCTGAAGAGAATAGCTGAAGCTGGTTGACAGACGAGCTAATCTGCAATACAGAAGAATAAAGCAGAAGCAGTGGAAGTTTTATGATTTAAGACAAGAAGTTGACTGTCAGCAAAACCATGAGGGGAAAATAATAAAACCTCAAGCAACTACTAATGCAGTAAAATTAACATCCACCAGCATAAGACAGAAATCCAATCATAAAGCTATGACTAATAAGACCATACGACCATAAAAAATCAAGTGCCAATTCTTAGAAAAGTACTGTATATATAATGGATTAATATGATTAAAAAAAAAACACATTTTAAGAATTTAATGACTCTAAAATCGGCATTATGCAAATGTAAAATACTTTCAAATATATATATATTTTCTGGTTAAAATACTTTGTACAGATCATGAATTATTTAGCCATATCGTAATTGCGTTTTCTATTTATTTGATCATTGCTTTTTTTACTTATCATCATAAATTAATTACTTCCAATAAGCCTATTTTCAGGCGCTGCGTAATATCATTGCAACTCGATGTTGATGTGAAAAAAAATCTTTTGATGTCATTATGACAGACACAATTTTGACCTTGCATATTTTCAGGGTATTAAGCATATTTATTAGCCTCTTATATATGGCTCATTCTTCAACTCAAAGCACATTCATTTGAACTTCTGTGGTCAGTAACTATATTCCAGCATTATTACATTCTAAACTGGATTCTAACTATTCTTAAGCAATGACCATTTATAGAATAGAAATAGAATAGAGTGCAAGTGTTAAGAGGTTCCCTCTTTTTAAAAAAGAAAACTAGTAAGAATAGAAATAGAATAGAGTGCAAGTGTTAGAGGTTCCCTCTTCTTTAAAAAAAAAAGAAAACTAGTAAGAATAGAAATAGTGTAAGTGTTAAGAGGTTCCCTCTTTTTTTTTTTAAGAAAACAAGTAGTAAGAATAGAAATAGAATAGAGTGCAAGTGTTAGAGGTTCCCTCTTCTTTTAAAAAAAAAGAAAACTAGTAAGAATAGAAATAGAATAGAGTGTAAGTGTTAAGAGGTTCCCTCTTTTTTTTTTTAGAAAACAAGTAGTAAGAATAGAAATAGAATAGAGTGCAAGTGTTAAGAGGTTCCCTCTTTCTTTTTTTTTTAAAGAAAACTAGTAAGAATAGAAATAGAATAGAGTGCAAGTGTTAGAGGTTCCCTCTTCTTTTTAAAAAAAGAAAACTAGTAAGAATAGAAATAGAATAGAGTGCAAGTGTTAGAGGTTCCCTCTTCTTTTTAAAAAAAGAAAACTAGTAAGAATAGAAATAGAATAGAGTGCAAGTGTTAGAGGTTCCCTCTTCTTTTTAAAAAAAGAAAACTAGTAAGAATAGAAATAGAATAGAGTGCAAGTGTTAGAGGTTCCCTCTTCTTTTTAAAAAAAGAAAACTAGTAAGAATAGAAATAGAATAGAGTGCAAGTGTTAGAGGTTCCCTCTTCTTTTTAAAAAAAGAAAACTAGTAAGAATAGAAATAGAATAGAGTGCAAGTGTTAGAGGTTCCCTCTTCTTTTTAAAAAAAGAAAACTAGTAAGAATAGAAATAGAATAGAGTGCAAGTGTTAAGAGGTTCCCTTTTTTTAAAAAAGAAAACTAGTATGAATAGAAATAGAATAGAGTGCGAGTGTTAGAGGTTCCCTCTTCTTTTTTTTAAAGAAAACTAGTACGAATAGAAATAGAATAGAGTGCAAGTGTTTGAAGTTCCCTCTTTCTTTTTTTTTTTAAAGAAAACAAGTAGTAAGAATAGAAATAGAATAGAGTGCAAGTGTTAAGAGGTTCCCTTTTTTAAAAAAAGAAAACTAGTATGAATAGAAATAGAATAGAGTGCGAGTGTTAGAGGTTCCCTCTTCTTTTTTTTTAAAGAAAACTAGTACGAATAGAAATAGAATAGAGTGCAAGTGTTTGAAGTTCCCTCTTTCTTTTTTTTTTTTAAAGAAAACAAGTAGTAAGAATAGAAATAGAACAGAGAGTGCAAGTGTTAGAGGGTTGAGTGTTTTATTTTTTTCTTTCTTAGAAATAGAATAGAGAGTGCTAGAGTTAGAGGGTCAAATGACGATGGAAGAGATGTGTTTTTAGCAGATTCGTGAAGATGGTTAAGGACTGGGATTGAGTTGAGCAGATCAGTCCACCAGCAGGGAACAGTTAATGTAAAAGTCTGTGAAAGTGCCTCTTTGGGATGAACTATAATGCGCCGTTCACCTGCAGAACGCAAGCTTCTAGAGGCACATAACTCTGAAGAAGTGAATTTATGTAAAGCGGTGCAGAGCCAGTGCTGGTTTTGAAGGCAAACATTAATGCCTTGAATTTGATGCGAGCAGCTATTGATGAACAGAGGTGTGACATGCACTCTTTTCAGCTTGTTAAAGACTAATCTTGCAGATGCATTCTGGATTATTTGTAGAGGTTTGATAGAATTGTCTGGAAGACTTGCTAAGACAGCATTGCAATAGTCCAGTCTGGACAAAACAAGAGTTGTGAAGCATGTTCTGAAAGAAAGGGCCTGATCTTCCTAATGTTGCATAAAGCAAATCTGCAGGAAATGTTGTCTGAGAAATTCAGCCGGTCAAATTAAACCAAGTAATCCACAACCCAAAATCAAGTACAAAACTTTTTTTTTTATTTTCACTGGGCAAACTTGCAAAACGTCTAGAAAAATAAACAACAAAATGCAGAACCTTACCACAACAACAAACATAAAAGAAAGAAGAATATTCACATTTTTCCCCATTACAGATAAAAGCACATTCTGGTTTCCTCACATCTCCCCGCAGTAGCCTGAATCGCTGGAGAGCTGAGACGTGGAGCTCCGGTTTGAGGAGGAGTTCCAAATGTCCAAATTCATGTGTGCTCCAAAGGGACTGAAGCTGGAGTACGGTTTTCTCGGGCAGGCGCCGCCTGGTTCGCGTCTGAAGGGTGCGACGGTCCGCTCCGAGTGAAAGTGGCTCTGGTGAGGCTCGCTTTGAGGAGTCCAGATCGAGCCAAACAGACTGGACATGGGTGACAGACTTCTGGTTCCTGAAAAGTATGGCTGGAAAAACAAAAAAAGATTGCTTAAATATTCCACGCATCTAACTTCTCAATGAAGAGAAACCCACATTTTATCAGGCGGGAAAATAAACACCGTGTGTTTCTGAGGAGCTCAGAATACGAATGTAGAAATGGTATTTAAACCAAGATGCAAGTGCAAACAATTTGTAGGGTATTAAAAATTCTGGTGTAAAATGCACGCGCTGCGAGTTCAACATATTTTCCAACATTGTTTGTGGACTGAAGATTTCTGCATTTCACTACATTTGTAAGAAGAAGATTTCGTTAACCTGTCGTCACAAACACCTTGAAGTTTTAACTCTTGCAAGTGAAGAAATTATGTCACAAGTATTGTAATTTTAAAATAATTAATATACTTAATGTGATCCTGCAGCACAAAAGCAGTGTTAAGTCGCTGGGGGATATTTGTAGCAATAGCCAACAATACATTGTATGGGTCAAAATTATACATTTTTCTTTTATGACAAAAATCATTAGGATATTAAGTAAAGATCATGTTCCATGAAGATATTTTGTAAATTTCCTAACATCAATATATCAAAACTTAATGTTTGATTAGTAATATGCATTGCTAAGAACTTAATTTGAACAACTTTAAAGATGATTTTCTCAATATTTAGATTTTTTTTTTGCACCCTCAGATTCCAGATTTTCAAATAGTTGCATCTCAGCCAAATATTGTCCGATCCTAACAAATCTTAGATCAATGGAAAGCTTATTTATTGTATAAATCTCAATTTCAAAAAATTGACCCTTATCAAACCCACTGGTTTAGTGGTCCAGGGTCACATTTATTTTTTTTTATTTTTCAGTGCAGTTGTAATACAATAGTAGTACATTTCTAAGAAATAATATATTAATATATTCTATTGTTATCATCAGTATTATTATTATATAACCCCTTCAGAGTTTCAGTTAACAAGAACATACTTTGCTTACAGTTACACGTCCAATAATTTAGATACGGTGTAAAAAGTAAGCCCTTAATTGTAGAAGTTTTTCTCTGTGGTATCGAAAATGGTATCAAGGCAAGATACTGCAGGCAAAAACATTGTTTTATGCATTAATCAATTCAGAGATTTTGGGCTATTTGGCTTTCATAAAGTGTTGTTTCAAACTAGTGTAAAGAAAACATCTATTTGTGTTTTCTTATATCTAGATGTTTTATTCTGAATGTTTTTACCATCTGTTTATATATCATTTGCACGATTTTACACATTTGTATTTTTTTTTTGTCAACAAACCTAAACATGCCTAATTTGCATATTTAACCATCTGGTGCTGTTTTTTTTTACTTCTTCAGAATAAGAAACTTGGTAAAGATTTTGGCACTTGCTATGTGCACACCATAAAAATCATGGACATGACTGGAAAAGGTTAAATGGTCTTAAAAATAATAGTAACACTTGTACTGATGGAAACGAATGGGAAGCGGATTCATCTAGTGGAAGCGTTTGGTACTGCACCCAAACCAAATTTACTGAAAGCTCATTTTTTAAGATATCAACTTCAAATTTGGAACACAACTTGTTTAAATTTATGGCTTTGATTTTCTTGCAGTCTTAGAGAAATATTGGACAATATATATTTCATATATAAAAAAAAATAGAATAAAGTTGATTTGTGTAGCGCTTTTCACGATACAAATCATTGCAAAGCAACTTTACAGAAAAACAAACTTAGACTTCTATAACTTTTTTTTGTTTCACTTTTTAACTTTGTTTTGGCTCTCAAGTTTATGCTCAAAAAGTGGTTAACAAGTAATAAATGGATCATAACTTTTCCATAAATATTATTAAATACCATAAAATTCCCTAAAAAAATAAAAAATATTAAATAGAAAACATTATCAAACTAAAATATAGATGAAAACCTTCTCCAGAGTGCTCAGGACCTCAGACTGGGCCGAAGGTTTACCTTCCAACAAGACAATGACCCTAAGCACACAGCTAAAATAACGAAGGAGTGGCTTCACAACAACTCTGTGACTGTTCTTGAATGGCCCAGCCAGAGCCCTGACTTAAACCCAACTGAGCATCTCTGGAGAGACCTAAAAATGGCCACCAACGTTTACCATCCAACCTGACAGAACTGGAGAGGATCTGCAAGGAGGAATGGCAGAGGATCCCCAAATCCAGGTGTGAAAAACTTGTTGCATCTTTCCCAAAAAGACTGGGCTATTTGGCTTTCATAAAGTGTTGTTTCAAACTAGTGTAAAGAAAACATCTATTTGTGTTTTCTTATATCTAGATGTTTTATTCTGAACGTTTTTACCATCCGTTTATATATCATTTGCACGATTTTACACATTTGTATTTTTTTTTTGTCAACAAACCTAAACATGCCTAATTTGCATATTTAACCATCTGGTGCTGTTTTTTTTTACTTCTTCAGAATAAGAAACTTGGTAAAGATTTTGGCACTTGCTATGTGCACACCATAAAAATCATGGACATGACTGGAAAAGGTTAAATGGTCTTAAAAATAATAGTAACACTTGTACTGATGGAAACGAATGGGAAGCGGATTCATCTAGTGGAAGCGTTTGGTACTGCACCCAAACCAAATTTACTGAAAGCTCATTTTTTAAGATATCAACTTCAAATTTGGAACACAACTTGTTTAAATTTATGGCTTTGATTTTCTTGCAGTCTTAGAGAAATATTGGACAATATATATTTCATATATTAAAAAAAATAGAATAAAGTTGATTTGTGTAGCGCTTTTCACGATACAAATCATTGCAAAGCAACTTTACAGAAAAACAAACTTAGACTTCTATAACTTTTTTTTGTTTCACTTTTTAACTTTGTTTTGGCTCTCAAGTTTATGCTCAAAAAGTGGTTAACAAGTAATAAATGGATCATAACTTTTCCATAAATATTATTAAATACCATAAAATTCCCTAAAAAAATAAAAAATATTAAATAGAAAACATTATCAAACTAAAATATAGTACATTCATTTAATTAAAATTTTTTTTTATTAAAAATTATATTATTTTTGACCGCCACATCAACACCACCAAAGGGTTAAACATCACATTTCAGAAAAAAAACGTGTATATATATATATATATATGTTTGCAATTCTTAAGGTAATCAATCAACAAGTATGGTGATATCTATTAGTTACTCTATTCATTTGCTGTGTCTTGGTTAAATATCAGTATTTTTCAAGGAAGTTTGAAATTCCAGCGTTGTGACTTATGACTTTTAGAAAGTGCTGGATAAAAATGAACGCTGCTGTAGAGCTCACCTTGCTAGTGTCCCAGGTGGAGTTGATGTTTTGGGTGGCGTTCTCACCCCAGACCGGCTGATGGCTGTGGGTCACGGTTTGGCTTTCATGGCATGAGAATGCAGTTTGGTAATTGCCGTTACCTTCACGGAGCAAACAAAGAAAACGGTCACTCATCCTTCACCAGCTGCATGCTACAGTGCTGGATGTCACTCACAGCGATGGAAACCTGCTCACCTGTTGGCATGCAGTTGGTCTGATCTCTGTAGAGATAAGGACTCGCACGCTGGCTGTTCATGTTGTTCCAAGGGAAGCTTCACAAAAATGACGAAAGGGTATTAATTTGATAGTGTGTGGTCAAAAATAAAATGGCAAATAATTAAAAGACATACCTGTCATATCCCAATGAGGGACTCTGAGGGACGAACGGGACAGATTCGGTCATGTTATACCTGAATTCATTGGTCAGAGGAACCGAGGCGGGAGACCACGTCTCTTCAATCACATTAGAACCGACTGTGTCTGGGGAATTCGCATAAATCAAAAACATGATCAGAGTCATCCAGATTACATGTAAGTACAGTCACTACCCAGCATGCCCCTCACCGGTGCTTTTGTCCACACCTGCGGCTACATCGAGAGCCGGCGCGGGACAGACGTCTGGGCTCCGGCACGGTTGCCTGACATACAGATTGTTCATGCTGTGGACAAACACGTTTATAGATCATTAAAGCACTTTCAGAAATCATAAGTCGCGTTAGGGCTGGGCGATTTTCTGATTTTATCGATTACTGTATTGGCCCGAATATAAGACGACCCCCCTTTTTCCAGATGTACCTTTTGGAAAAAGGCTTTTTAAAAACCAAATCTTGTTTTTTCTCAGTAAAACACATTTTGTCTTCAATTATTTTCATATTGCATATTTTTCCTATTTTAATTTTTGTTTTGAAAGTATGGTAAAAACTGGTAAAATGTACCCACAATCACATTTAAAAAATATACACTTTTTGATATACCATTAAAAAAACAAAAAACCGGTAGCCCATCTGAATTAGGACATTTAGGCTATCCATCTAATAGTAGCCTACCAAAATCTTATTAACAGTAGAAGTTAAATCTTACTGTAGTCTTCAAATCTGGGTACTGTCTTACGTTTTAAAATCACAAAGAGAGTTTGGTCGCATCAGGCTAACGTCACAACTCATGCAGCTGTAAGTTTTCTTTCTCTTTAGTTTTTTCTCGCGATCTTTACAACACGCATTACATTACGTATTTCATGGCACGCTCGTTTTATGCGTATTTGGCGCCACCTATTGTTGTGGGTGTATTATTGACATGTCAAAGTCTAGACCCTGAAAATAAGACCACCGCGTTTTTTCAGATGTATTTCCAAGAAAAAAACATCGTCTTATATTCGGGTCAATACGGTAATTCGAATGCTTTGCCACAATTTTTTTTTTTTTTAGAAATCTAGGAATCGCGATTTTGAATAGAAATATTACCAAATGTTAGAATTAGACACTTTCAGCTAAGGGGCGTTGTTAGGTACGACGTGACTACTTTGTAGCGTCATTTACAACAGCTTCGAACGCAGCTCAGCCAATCAGAGCCAAGCACTGAAACTATCCGCTTTATAAACTTCTTTTAACTTGAGCGCTGTGTTTCTAGAATTCTGTTTCATGCAAGAGACGCGAGCGCAACAGTCAAGCACGTCCATGTTTACGTAGAAAAAACAAGGGAAAAGCAGCGCAATCGAATAAAAAACCCTGTAAAGAACTACTACTGTATGTCTGATATTTCATGTTTGCATCCTGGTGACCTGCTGAAAGCTGCTGTTGTTTTTACAGAACATTCATAGTTAATAATAGTCTACTAATGTTATATCTTCAGTCATTTTGAATTACCTTGATTTTATTTTATTTTTTTAAGTATTTTCCTTGTATTATTTCTGAACACATAATATGTGCTAGAATTCCGTTTCAACTAGAGGGTTAATAAAGAAAAAGTTACTTGAATCATGTTGTAGTTACATTTTCAAGTTGACTAGTTAAAAATCTTTTAAAAAACGTAAAAAAAAAATAAAAAAAATCGAGATTTTAATTTTTAGCCCAATCGCCCAGCCCTAAGTCAAGTAAAAAAAACAAACAACAAACTTGAGAAAATCGGCTCCTTTTACCTTTGAGTTTTGTAGGAATAGTTCATGTAACATTCCCGGTCTTTTGGATACGGGTGGTACTGGTTGTCTCCTAAAAACAAACAAACAAACAAATTTTCACTTGGAATAGAATTTTCTTTAACTAGAGGGTTAATAAAGAAAAATTACTTGAATCATGTTGTAGTTACGTTTTCAAGTTGACTAGTTAAAAGTCGTAAAAAAAAACGTACAAAAAAAAAAAGAGAATCGGTCAAACGTTCGGGGGGGAAAAAAAATCGAGATTTTAATTTTTAGCCAACTCGCCCAACCCTAAGTCAAGTAAAAAAAACAAACAACAAACTTGAGAAAATCGGCTCCTTTTACCTTTGAGTTTTGTAGGAATAGTTCATGTAACATTCCCGGTCTTTTGGATACGGGTGGTACTGGTTGCCTCCTAAAAACAAACAAACAAACAAATTTGGATTAAAGTATTATTCATAATAATGTAGTACTTAACTGTGAGTGGAGCGCGTGATCTCTTACTCCGGCAGGGATGTCTGTTGGGGTCCTTCTCTCCCTCGACGCTGCTGGCGCTGCTCCAGCTGCCCCAGGACCCTCGGCTGGCTCTCACACTGCCTGATGAGCTGCTGGAATCAGAGCCAGACTCCCACTGCAGACGGCGCTCCGGACATTTACGCCTCGGTCTGCTCAAACACGTGCCTGTGTTTACGTGAACGGAAACCGTTTAACAAAACTCACGTGGAGAGTTAAAGTAGATCAGGTCAGTGCATGTGCATGTGGAATAATTATGATTTTTAAATATTTTGATAGTCTCTCATGCTCATCGAGGCTGTGTTTATTTGATCAAAAATACAGTAAAAATAGTGAAATATTATTATAATTTATAATAGCTGTTTTCTATGTGAATATATATAGTAAAATGTAATTTATTCCGGTGATCAAAGGCTGCATTTATTTGATCAAAGATACAGTAAAAATAGTGAAATATTATTATAACTTAAAACAGCTGTTGTCTATGTGAATGTATGCTAAAATGTAATTTATTCCGGTGATCAAAGGCTGCATTTATTTGATCAAAGATACAGTAAAAATAGTGAAATATTATTATAA